AATCCACTCACCTCAGCCTCCCAAGGCACGGGATTATAGGCTGAGCCACGGAGCCCGGCTTGGGTGTCTGTTTTCAAAGTCCTGTGCGACCCAGCCTCCTCCAGAAAGCCCACCATGATTTCCTTAAACCCACAGGACTTCCTTCTCCTAACTCCCATACTATTTGTCCTTCTCCTCAGGCCCTTCCTATGTATTTGCTTGACAAGGTCTTTCTACGTTCCTGTGAGTTTAAGTCTGGATTAAGGTGAGAGCAGGTGCTCCCTGAAATGGGCCTTCTCCCCTTGTTTCCTAGTGCTAAACAGGCCCCTTCACAGGATCCAGAGAACTGACTGGCGAACTCACACCAGACTTCCAGGTTGCAGCCACTAGACAGAAAAGAATTCTAATGATGGCTTCTCCAGTTCACAGACAGGACCTGAAGAGTGCCTCCTGGAGGTTCCCCAAATTTTGCCTTCCTCCACTCCTGAAAGCAAGATGGGTGACAGTGGCTCTACTGGAACTACCTGTGAAAATTCAGTCAGAGTTCTTGCTCTTGTCACATTTGCTCACAGTGGCATGATCTGATCCGGATATACGACCTCAGTATGTACCACCAGCATTTCTGTCAGTACATGAAGAATAGAGGTTTCATTAAATTGGACTCTTAGAAATCATCCTTGAATGGATTATCCAAGGCAGCCACCCAATGAAAGAAACCATGCTAGCTCTTTGTACTTAAAAAAAAAAAAAAGAATGTCTCTTGGGAAAACCTGAAAGGTTGGCTGGGTATGGTAAGTAAGAAGACAAATAATTACAAATCAGCAGGTGGCCAGTTAGTCCTTTGCTGTCCAGAGTGCAAAACACCTGACACTACAGATGACAAGGAAGGTAGGAAAGCATGCAGGCTGTACAACGTCCAGTGTCTACAACCTTTTCAGTCTCCCTAACTGCCCTCTTCACTAACTTCCTCCTATTGGGCTGGGCCCTGCTGCCCAGAGTCCTTATCTAGGCTTGTCATCCCCTCCAAAACACCCCTCTCTGCTACTAGACCCAGAGCCCTGGCCACCCTGCCTCAGTCAGCTGGAAGGGGCTGGCGTCATCCACGTTCTCCCAGACATTGATAACCAACCATTGATATGAGTGCTGCCATCCTGGTTGTCTTTGCATTTTAACTAGGACCTGTAGAATGCTAAGTCTAAGACATGAGGATTGCAGAGGGGATCCAAGGCTTCTGTCTGTTCTGCCTCCGGGGATGCAGAGTTGGCAGATGGACAGGCAAAGTGCTGCCGCAGTGTCAGGCCCAGGGATCTGAATGGCTACTGGTAACCCAGCAAGGGAAGGATATAAAACCATTATGGTGGCTTCTGTTCCCTTAAAAACAAGACAGTGGGGATGAAAACATACTTGTAACTAAGGGGAGAGGAAAAACTCTAGACTGTTTGGGAGGGAAACCCTGGACTTGTCTGTGTTCCTTCAAGCCATCCATAGCATGAGGCCTGGGTGGGCTGTGTTGCCATAGTGGTTCCAAGTCCTAAGGGCAGAACCTGGGCCTCCTCCTCTGCTCTGGTCCCGACGTCTCAGTCATGGATGAAGGGGAGGGGAGCAGGAGGCTTTGCTCAGAAAGGTTGGGTACCACAGTGCCTGCATCTCAGGCAACTTCCCATGCTGCAAGCTTCCCTGTCCATCCTCCCTGGCTCAGCAACCTCCTCAGGAGACTCCTTAAAGACAGCACTTGTCCTGCACAGCCTTGGAGAAACAGCCCTTTAGTTGCCTTTACATGCTTCTCTGTGGCCAAAATAGCCTTTCAGGGGAGGGGTAGAGCTGCAAGGGAGGTCTGGCTCTCCTGTTGGCCCACAGCAAGTAACTCACTCCAGAGCAACCAGAGGGAGTACTTTTCGAAGGGTAAATCTCATAAGGGTTTGGTGGAACCCTACCAGGGAAGCACCAGCACATTTCCAGGTTCCTTAGTTACATTCCTTCACTTTTTGGGTAGCATTTGCCACATGTCACATCCATGTGGATACCACATCCATGTGGATACCACATCCATGTGGATACCACATCCACTTGGAAATGGTTTCCTCCCCTGGCTCTCAGGACAGCATGCTCCCATGGCTCACCTCTTGCCTCTTTGGCCATCATCTCTGGGCTGTCCCACAGCCCTTTGTCTCCTTTGCAGGGTCCTGCCCTCAGGCCTCCTTCTCTCCTTGGGGAACCCTAATGTCTCCTATTGGACTGACATTTTTACATAAGTGACTTTTTTTTAAGTTGGAGTCTCACTCTCTCACCCAGACTGGAGTACAGTGGCATGCTCATGGCTACTGCAGCCTCAACCTACTTGGCTCGGGTAATCCTTCCGCCTCGGCCTTCCAAGTAGCTAGAACTGCAGGTGCATGCCACCATGCCCGGCTAATTTTTAGATTTATTGTAGAGACGAGGTCTCGCCAAGTTGCCCAGGCTGATCTTGAACCCCTGGGCTCAGGCGATCCTCTCACCTCTGCTTCTCAAAGTGTTGGGATTACAGGTGTGAGCCACTGTGCCCTGCCACACAGGTGACATCTAAATCTATAGCCTTTCAATCACACATCTCCTCCTTAATCCTCCACTGTATCCATCCATCACATGAGAGAGTTAGTCCTCACTATCCCTTTCCTGGGGCTGATTTTTTAAAAACACATGCTGGTAGGTATTTGGGGCTAACTTTTTACTCCTCAGTGCAGATGACTTCATCAAAGTATCTTCTCTCAGGCTGGAGGTATTGGGTGTAAATGGTAACACTGGAGGAGATTGAGCAGGAAGAACGGCCTGGGATGGGGACTGGCAAGCCGTTGAGCAACTCTGATCACAAGGACCCACATGTGGTCCTCGAGGCCTACAGGGCAGTTCCTGGTGGTATTTGATCCTGAGTGAAACTGCCAGCTCCTTTGGGCCATAAGCCAGGAGCCAGGAGGGACCTGACCAGGGGGCAAAGCCCTAGGCTGAGAGGCCCCATGCAAAGTCCACCATTCAGCATTTCCCCCATCACTGTCCATGACAGAAAGCCGTCTTAGTGGCAAGCACAAAGATCTCTGGCACTGCGCTTGCACACTCAAGCCTTTACTGTGAGCTTCCTGTATGTCTTCCCTCAGAAACACAGCCAATGCGCCATGACCATCACGTGGCAATGTAATCAGGGAGATTAAATGTAAAATATTCATGAATGCAGGAATCAGAAAGAACTCCAGGCAGAAGGAAATGCCTGGCTCCAAGAAATCAGGGAGAATTTAAAATGCCCCCCAAGGACATCTGAAGGCATTAGCCAGATCTGGGAACTAAAGTGGGGATTAACAAAAGTATTAATAAACACTTAGCAGAGACAGACATTGACATGCATCTCTAACAGCAACTCATGTTTCTGCAACCCTTCAAACAAATTCTCCAAAGACTCTGAAGATGATTAGTAGCCCAATCTCACTGTTTCTAGGACAGGATATATAGGCTAATGGCCAATGCAAAGCCAACATAACTAGAGGAAGTCAACAGGGCCAGAAGAATCCTTAGTCTCATCCAGTGATTTTCATTAAACTGGGTTCCCTGAATGAGAGTGTATGTGGCGGGGGGGGGGAGCAACAATAGGGTAGAGGTCTGGTAACTTTTCAATTAGAATAAGTCCACCTTATTTCATTTATGCGTCAGCCTATCACAAGATTTTAGTTGGAGAAAAATTTCTATTTTTTTAAAAAGGTTAAAATCTATTGGTTTAATCCAATCTGTTTGTTTTGTTTTGTTTTTTTTGAGTTAGCGTCTCACTCTGTGACCCAGGCTGCAGTACAGTGGCATGATAACAGCTATCACAGCCTTGACCTGCTGGGCTCAGATTATCCTTCCTCCTCAGCCTTCCAAGTAGCTGGGACTACAGGCACATGGCTAGTTTTTGGATTTATTGTAGAGACGAAGTCTTGTCATGTTGCCCCGGCTGGTGTTGAACTCTGGAGCCCAGGTAATCCTCTCATCTTGACCTCCCTAAGTGCTGGGATTACAGGCATGAGTCACCACGCCTGACCCAATCTGGTCTTTAAAAATGTTTTATTATGGAAACTATGGAAAGAAGAGAAAACAATATAAAGTAAGTTCCCTAATAGAATGAGTTCATTCTGAGAACACGTTTGTAAATCCAATTTGTTCTTAAGTCCAACAAAGTTAGCCTAGGTAACTAAACACAATCGGCTATACCGGGCCAGCTTTATTACCACTGCTTTTTTGTTTGCTTCTGAACATCCTGGGCTTGAAATAAAGATACTGTACTACTCATACTGAGATACCACCTAACCCCAGTCAGAATGGCAATTATCAATAACTAAAAAAATAACAGTTGCTGGAGAGAGTGTGGCAAATAGGGAACACTTCTACACTGTTGGTGGGAGTGCAAACTAGTACAACCTCTGTGGAAAACAGTATGGCAATTCCTAAAAGCTCTAAATATTGACCTCCCATATGGCCCCGCAATCCCCCTACTGGGAATATACTCTGAAGAACTCAAATCACTCTATAGAAAAGATACCTGCACACATATGTTTATCGCAGCATTGTTCACAATAGCAAGAACCTGGAAGCAACCATGCTGTCCATCAAAAGAGGACTGGATTAAAAAAATGTGGTACATATACACGATGGAATACTACGCAGCCATAAAAA